CTCAAATAATGAGGACTTACATTATTTATAAACCCATGAGCATGTTAAATCATTGTGAGGATCAACATTACCATTAATTTTACTTTGCTACATGAGTTCAAGAATTTCCATTTGTGTAGTAATTTAATCAATCAAGAGCAACTTTCCACAAAAAACGTTATTTTTTCTCTGTCAAATGCACAATTATTATAATTATCCTATTAAATATGCCTGTTCTGCCATTCAATCTCATTTAAAGTTTGAGCTGTATTTTTTTCTTTAGGTTTTGTTTTCAACTAGAATTCTAATTTCTTTCATTTAATAAGACATTACATATGTAAACTGCATTTCTTGCAAGATTTTAGAGTTCAGCTGCATTTTCTTATTCCCAAAAAGCTGTAAAACAATAAAGAGAGAACATAGCATTTAGTTTTAAAGAATACACTGATTGTGGAAATGGTATTTTTCATTTTCTATAAATAGCTATCCTTGAAAATTCTATTTCATTGAGTGAAAAAAATAACATTTTTAACATCCATAATTTACTAATGTATCCTTGTTTGGTCATCTATATTTTGTAATCATGAACCAATATCTGAAATGTCAATCGAATTCCAATATCTTGTTATTATCTTTGTAATTGTTCCTTCAAAAATGTGTATAATCTTCTACTTCAACGTCATTTTCTTTGTACATGCCATCATTCTCTTTCAATTCATTGTCAGTTGTTACTTCTGCTAATGTACAAGGAATAAAGGAATTATAGAGGTTGAGTTTTACCTCTGATTACTTTCTTTTTTTGATACACCAGGTTTGAATTTTTTTTAGCCATTGACTCACTTTGTAAATAATTATCAATTAATTTTAATTGTTTATCAGTTTAACACTTGTTTTATTTCTCCTTGCTAAGATATTTCTCATCTTGAGTTCTTTGCTTGGCTATTTTTCTGATTGAATTATTTTTCTTTCTTAATCATGTTTTATTTATAACAGTTTTATCATTATGGAACACTTGTATATGTGTTTCAAGATGGCTCTTAAATGTTCTGCCATTTGCCTGATATATGATATTATTACTTTGAGCCTGCAATAATAGTTATAGCAATCATATGCTGCTAGATGCTAATGCATAATACATTAAATGAAAAATAATAATTATAATTCTAAAGTTAATAAGTTGTTATTATATTATTTGGAAACTGAATAAGATTTACTGGGCTTACTTCATATAATAAACTAATAATTATATAAATATTTTATGTCAAATATAGTGTATTTAAATGTTTCAACTAAAACAAAATACTTATAAACATTTTATGTGGTTGAACTGCCCACTAGACCCTGATGGCTTGGGAGCATCCTGTAGTTGCAGGGGCACTGAAAACGGCTGTGCTTCCATTCACATAGAATTTTTTCATGTGTTGTCTTAATACTCTGGAATATTTCAGTTAAAATTACCTTTAACTCATTACTTAATTAGCTTCTTTGAGGTTTTAAGTTAAATATCTGCAGTGCCAAGGTAAGATAAATCTCAACAGAAGCAAGGTAGGATAATTTACAATGGACTTATGTTGAATTAATATCAACAAGGTTAGGATAGGATAAATTTTAACAGGGCCAGGATAGAATACATCTTAACAGTGCCAGGTGTATAGAAGAAATCTCATCAGGACAGGGTAGGATACATCTCAACTGGGGCAGGGGAGGATAAATCTCCAAAGCAGCAGGATAGAATAAATCTCCTTAAGACTAGAGTTAGAAAATTTTCACCAGTGCCAGGGTAGGGTAAGTCTTAACAGGGGGCAGGGTAGAATAAATCTCATCAAGACCAAGTATTTAGAATATATCTAACCTTGGTCAGGGTAGAAACAACCTTGTCAGGGCCAACTAGGAGCTTTGCTACCAGTGACGTTTCTAAACTTTCATAAAATATGATGTTTTAATAATAATATTGTATAAGAAGAGGTTTTCCACCCCTTTAAATGATTAAATAGCATTGGTATCTTATTATAAAAAAACAAACAAACTAGGTTTAACAATTGAGCCATGTATTCATTCTCAACAGTAAGTCTTTCATTCAAAACTCTTAAAGGTCTCATATTTTCTTGGACTTTTTTTGTGTTAAAAGAACTGATGAGACAGTGCATTCTGATCTTAATAAGTAAAAATCTAGGAAAAGTATATTTAATTAGCTACACTCATTATTGGGTTGATATTTAATTTTCGTCTAAGTATTTAGGTATAGCTTGCTCTAGCTAATCAGAAGTTATTATTAATACACCTAATAATCATTTAAGCTATCATTTATCTTATAAACTAAACTCCATTTTAGCCTCAAACATGGATTTTATAGCCCGTTTTTGCATATTGCAAATATTTAGATTTTGGTCTTTAATTTGAATGTTAAAAAAAAGAATATAGTATATTTCATCAAGTTTAATAGGTATAATAAGAAATTCTCAAGCTTCACTTTTTCTTGTTTTAGGCATGTTTATCAAATCAGTTTCTGTAATCAAACTATTTAATTCTATATTTTACAATATCTTATTTTATAAATTGCATACTTCCTGTCTTGCCTATAATTTTCATACTATAAGTTATCAATTTTCTCTGAAGCAAGTGCTGATTTTCATTTTAGCAGGTATGGTCTAAAAATATACTTGTCTGAATCACTTTGAGCCTCCTTACAAAGGTAGTATTAGTTTGGTATTTTAAAAATTAACCCAGTCTTTGCAGTTCAAGTTTTTTTCTAATTTACATTTGTTTTGGTTTTTAATTATCTAGATTTTTTGATAAATTGGGTAGGTTTAGATTTTTAGCTATTTAGGTATTCTTTACACTTGTATAAGTTTAGGTTGTCAGTTATCTATTTTTTTTTCAAACTTAGATGGATTTAGTTTTTTTTTGTATTTGAAATTTTTTATAACTTAGGTAAGTAGGTTTCAGTTATCTAGGTTTTTAAAAATTTAGATAATTTTAGGTATTTTGCAACATAGGTAGATATAGATTTTAAGTGTTCTAGATTTTTCTACCTTAGATATAGGTTTAGGTGTTTAATTATTTAGACTTTCTAACTTAAGGAGATTTAGATTTTTAGTTATCTGAATTTTTCAAACATACATAGGTTCAGGTTTTTTAGTTACCTAGACTTTCTAACTTAGATTAAGGTTTTTAGTTATTTGAATTTTTCTAACTTAGATATATAGGTTTAGGTTTTTGTGTATCTAGAATTTTCTAACTTAAATAGGTGTATGCTTACAGTTATGTAGAGCTTTTTAAACTTAACTTGGGTCCTTAATTGTTTTAATTATCTGTTGTTGTTTTTTCTAATTTGGGTAGGTTTAAGGTTTCAGTTATCTAGAATTTATCAAACTTAGAGAGGCTTAGGTTTGAACTATGTAGGTTTTTTTTTAACCTAGGTTGCTTAGATGTTTATAGTTATCTATATTTTTAAATTTTAGTTCAGGGCTTTAGAGATATTCTTTTAACTTAAGTAGTTCAGGAGTTCAATTACCTATTGTTATCTAATTTGAATAGGCTTAGATTTTAATTTCAATGTATCTAGATTTTTCTAACTCAGGTTGGTTTATTTTGTTATTCATGCTGAAGGAGGCTTAAGGAACTATATTCCAGCCTTGTGGGCTGAACATTGGTCTCAGAACACCTGTATCATGTGAGTCTTGAGCTCATATCTGTCAGAGCAAGCTATATGGTAATTTCTTTACATGGACAGTGTAGTCTGTAGTTACCTTATATTATTTTGTTTTGTTGAATGAAGCTTATATGTAATAAGGTATTATTTAGGTTTACTTTTATTAATTATGAATTTGTATATTCAACCATTCTTTTATTGTATATCTTATTGAATTTTAATTTCATTCTTTGTAGGGGTGTATGTACACAGGCTCCATGCTACTGCATTATAATGGAATTCTGCTCTTATGGCCAACTCTATGATGTTCTTCAGGCAGGACATGATATTCCACCAACAAAAGTTGTGGATTGGACAAAACAAATTGCTGCGGGAATGAACTATCTACATTCTCACAAGATTATCCACAGAGATCTCAAATCTCCTAAGTAAGCTTTAACTAAACAGAGCCATATTATAGTAGTATATGTAATATTCATGGGAAACATTTTGTGTGGTTTAAATGTGAAATGTGGTTAAGCACATTTTAAACATTTTTATATAAAGAGTGTGCAAAATACAATATAAATAAAATTTATTAATTGTATTTGAATTTTCTAAAACATTAGAGCATAATGATTATAAATGAAATTAAATGTGCTATTAAAACCTTTAGTTTTTGTATGCAGCTTATCTTGTAATCTTTGTGTACGGTTTGTTCTTTTTATTAATGCAATAACTTACAGAACTTTAAGTTTAAGCAACATGTTTTAGAATTGAATTTATATTGCTATGATAGATTTATTTATTAAGATCATTAAGAAATTAACAGTGTAAATCTGATATATATATATATATGTGTGTGTGTGTGTGTGTATGTAGATTTAAAATTTGTTTTAAAGTCAACTTAGGCATGTAAGTAAGATTATGAAGAAACACAAGCTTAAGATTAAATGTTTATTTCAATTGTGATAGTGCTTTTGCAACATCAGTGTTGCTTCTCTGCCAAATAACAAATCTCTTAAATGAAACAAAGTATCCAACTACAAATATGTATCTTTATGAATAACTCGATAATATTAATATAAAAAATATCAATATATATATATATATGTATGGTCCCAACAACAACAAAAGATTGGAAGTTGATGAAGTCTCATAATTAAAAAGTTCTCTAGCTCTTGGTGAAATATATTACAGAGAAGACCAACTGTAGAAAGCTGTATGAAAAACACCTAGCATGTGAGAAATGAAATTTTATACTGACCCTTCATGCTGGATGATTGTATTTAAATGACCGCAGAAAAGAAAGAAGAGAGAAAAAAAAACAATTCATAAGAATTGGTTGTGTCTTCTAAAACCAAACTTTTCTCAATTCATTGGATTGTAGAATCACAGTTGAGCAGTCATTTAATAGTAAAAATCACATTTCCTTTGATATTTAATTAGTCTTGTTTAAATATCGTGAAGTACATAACTGACATCTTTTGTTGCTACAAGTTATAATTTCTCTTTCTGCATAACTTCTTATTATTATCATAATCAAATTTATAAGGTTGACAGAGTAATTATTTTGAATTTATTTATTGTGTGTTACAACTAATACTAATATAATCATTTACAGTATTTTTAATTCTTGTATTAACAGAGCTTTCTATGAAACTTGTCACTTTAGTAATATCTGGTACAGCAATCAGTTTAAATAAAAGGTAATGTAGATTTGATCTTATTAATCTTTGATCCAGTTTCTTTCACACATAAAAAGAGATATCTATAATACCTTCTTGGTAATTTCTATTATGTAAAAAATATCTTTGATTTATTCAGTCTTATTTCTTTCATTATAACCACTTTCAACAATTATAATTCTTTTAGTCAAATTAAATTGTATATTTCTTTTAATATGAGAAGGATGATCACTAGTAAAATCCAAATATGCATGAGAATTTGAAGCTTTACAATGAATATCTGTTTTTAATATTTCACTTGCATGTTTTATAACAAGAATACCTAAAAAAAGATGATTGTTCCTCCTTCTATGTATAAGTAAAAGTAATGTTATCAGTAAGAGGATTCAAATCATTCTTGAATATGTTTAGATATTTCTCCTTCATTTTCACCCTAAATACATAATCAAGATAATGAAATCAGTTACAATAAATATTATGTTCTATCACCTGAACAATCGTATCATTTACTTTACTAAAGAATACATTCCTAGTTCAAGAAAATACATAACTAATGTCACATAAGATGGGTCCTTGGTAGTCCTCATTGCAATACTTTTAAGTTTTATTAATAATTTATTACTCAAGTGGACCCATGAAAGTGTAAAATAAATGAAAAATACTAATTTATAAATGATATTTTATTAAATACATTAAATCATCATTAAATTTAGAAAATGGTAGAAAATTTAGAATATAAAAAAGTTGAGTTTTAGATGATATAATAAGATTTATTATTCATTTAGGTTTTGTTTTTTATTTCTCTGTATATCAGTATTCCTTATGCCTTTTTTAATATTTTCAAGGTACTTATAAAGATATCTATTTATAGTTGTACACTCTTTTTTTTCCTTTCATTGGTTTAGTGTTAGTAGAAGCAAATCTAATGTTGAAAAAGTTATACCACTTATGAAATAAGCATTTAATTTTTAGCAGTGTTCATTCTTTTTAATATATTGTGTGTATTTGTCTATATCAATATACACATACATACACATGTATCTTGTATGGTAACTCATTTTTGATAAAATGGAAGAGATTAGTTGAGTTATCATAAAAATTTTGTTTAAGCTGTTTGTGAATCATACTATACTCAGGTAGATAGTACTCTGGCTTCATAACACAGGACATTATCATTACAACTGCTCTTGAAATATAATGAACAAAAAAACAGGACATGTGAGCTGAAAACTGGAGACAAAAGTATTTGTAGGGACATATTTGGAGAAATTTTTATTGATATGTATAATTGAAAGAATAATTAAGTTTTAAGAGTGGCTTTGATTATCACATATCAGAAAAAGTATTCTAAAAATTTCTGTTATAATAAATTTTTTTTTTACATTATGTAATATATATATTTCATTATGAATCTCAGAGCAGATAGTTTCAGAGTTATTTTGAACCACTACATATCCTTCATAGTGTTCTGATTGCAAGCAATGAAATTCTGAAAATTTCTGATTTTGGAACTTCTCGTCAGTGGAATGATATTAGTGCTAGAATGTCATTTGCTGGGACAGTGGCCTGGATGGCTCCTGAAGTGATCCGTAATGAACCTTGTTCTGAAAAAGTTGACATATGGTAAGTAGTTAGGGCAAAATTATTTTTTTTTAATTTATTGATAAGCAAATCACAATGAAAAGAACAGCTACACTTAAACTAAAATCTATCAACATTAACTAAATAGTGTCAATTCACCTGCAACCTGCTCTTTTCCTTTAAAAACCACACATGTAGCAGACCATTAACATTTAAGGCTTAGATAAAGCTTAAATTATTTCTACATGAAAAGAGCCTCAAAGAGGCATCTATAACTTATAGATTATTGAAATAAAAAACGTTTAAACTTTATTTGTTGTTGTAAATTACAAAAAAATCATATGCACACACACATATATATATATAACTTGTACATTTTTCATAATGTTTGTTCTTTGGAAAGGAGCAGTTGTTGCATTAGAGTAATCGGATTTAAAAAAAAATCATTCTACAGTAATAGGATGCATAAAAATCGGAAATGGATGCAGTAATAAAATAAGACATGTCTTAAACCTTTCTAGACTCTAAGGGTGTCTCACTGATATCCCATGATTTTATCCTTCTGATAGTGGAAATACTTAACCAAATGGCATTACATTTAAAACCAAATTACCAAATACTTAAATAGTTTACAGTTTGGGCTTAAAGAAAGTTGTATAATATGATGTAGTTTTTCTATTATTTATGTGTATCGTGAAAAGTCAAACATTTAATGTTGAGACACTGTTTTAAAAAGATATTAAAACTAATTCCTTTCATCTTAGAATTTAAATGTTTTCAAAAGTTCCATGATTGTATTCTCAACTTACAAAGAACTTTTACTTTTATATTTTTTAAGCTGATTTTTGATTAGATATGACTGAAAATTCAATTGACATAATGTTACTTATTTCATAATTTAGCTTAGAAAAGTTTGTTTTACATTGATTGCAAAACAAATTTGAAAACTCACCACTAAGTATTTACTTTTTATTCAAATTAAAAAATAGATCTAATTATTAAGAAACGAAAAATATTTTGATGAAAACCAGTTCTACGACTATATGAATAAAATTAGACAGAAAACACATTTTGATGGTATGGTGCAAAAACAGAATTGAGGGGGTGATGATGAGCGACGGATTGGCCAATCGGGATGCCGGGACTTGTCCCGGTGGGCCGATAGTCCAACTTAATTTTGGGCC